ACTTGTGCCCGCGAAGTGCGACATAATGGTGACAGCTATTAATAGATTATATCAAGATTATTACAATTTTTAACCACACTTATCAGGATCCGGGAATAAGATGTGTAAGAAAACTTTGGAGAGATACTGGGCAGAAATAATAGTTGTGAAGTCTCTTCTTCAAATTAAACGGGAATTAGATATTTTTCCCCGAATAACTTAAACTGTTTTAAGTGTTAATTTTTTAACAAATTGCTCATACAGATAGGGATAGTTGTTCCTTATATATCTCACTTAAGCTCATCTAAGTATAGCCATACTCTTAATTAACATAACACTATATTTCATGTAATCACTCTTTCTATAATACTTTTAAAACTTGCCATAAGCGACAATTGCCAAGCACGCAATGTTGTTGGAGGGTGTTTAGGTACCATTTGCGGGAGCGCTGGGACATCAATATAGAACCAGAGGTCCTCTTTACGCGTCTGTACTTACACTTGGGGTTCGTTCGGTCCGCCGGGTTTTGCTGTTGGAAGCAACTTTCTCCCCGGGCTGGGGCACATCAGGTGTGCTGCAAGTTCCATCTTTTGACAGTTTAGAGACTACAGTATTACTGACTTCCTGTCTCGGAGAAAAGAGGGATTTGGGGTTAATTGTAAGGTCAAAATTGATATGCCGATAGTTCCGTCGAGGAAACAAAAAGGGTTAAAGTATGTTGTATTGAAAACTCGCGTTTTCCCAAGGAAGGAGTGGATTTCCGGGCCAATGTTTAAGTCTACGGTCCTCCAAGAATGAATGGGCTCTTATGAAGGGGTGAATTAAGTTTTTATTCAAAGAAAGTGTGAATCGACCATACTCGTTTAATGCCGCGAAATATTTTGGGTATTGACCAACTAGTTTTTTTATGAAAAAATGGAACAACGTTTTTGGGCACACACACTGGCACGGCCATGGTCCACCCCCTATGCAGAACGATAACCACGTTGATATAGGGGCCGAAGGAAACTCAAGGGGCGAAAACACATTATGGGAACCCGAGTAAATTTGTCTTTTGTTTTTTCTCCGGCTCTCTTTCCCATCTGCTTGCATCCCCTTAGGGCTCGAATGTTCTCAGATGAGGTCAAAACTATAATTTGAGCGAAGAACGTTCTTTATGAAGTTTCTGTGTCCTGGTCTGGCCTTATTTGCTACCCCTTCACTGGCCGCACCCAGTTCTGACTCTTTTATGAAACCAATTTTCATTCTTTCGTAATTAAAGATGGTTGGAATAGGTGACTGATGTGGATAGCAAGGGTCGAAAAGAGGCGTATTTCATTTCTTGCGGAGGTCCTCATTTTTTTGTGGCTTACAAGAGACCAATTCGTAACGAGAGACCCAAACAAAGAATTTAACAATAAAAAATAGAAAATTTTTTAGTGGGCGGATCGGGCCCTGAGGATATCCACCTAGACACAAATTCAACGGCGAATTCGCCAGGGATGCAACATTTTTTAATGAAAATATTGCTCCCTTTTCAAGTGTAAACCGCATACAAGTGAGACATCGGTTCGGGGGTGTCTGCGGGTGGATTTATCCAGTACCGAGTTGGAATTATGGATTACTAGTGTATTAAACGCAGAGCAGTTTTCGGGAGGTGGGGAAGGGTGACCCAGTAGTCCGGGGAATATCTCTCACAACACAAACCCAATACGGGGATTTGTTTAGGGTCGGCGTTTTCAATCAAACGATACCTTACAGTAGATGTGAGTGGTGGGGGCGATGATATGGGGAAGGCATGGTTCGGGGTCGCTTCGCAACGTCTATGAAAAGGGACGCGATCCGACTTAGGAGAGGAAAGAGTTATAGATATTCTCGAAAAATCTAGCTTTCAATAATGACAGAACCATACTAATTTACTCAGGAAGCAAATATTTTAAGTGAGCTTGATGATAATGTGAACATTAGCTTTCTATTTTTATCAATGCTGCGAACGAGTACGTAGAGGACGTTTGCAACATTGAATATAATAAAAACAGTAAAAAGCAATTTATCGAGTCTGGGCTGCCTTCAGCCAAACAAAACATCAATAAAAGTCCAAATTTTTTCAATAAGATTTCCTACGCGACCATCAACAAAAAGCTCCCTGGTACATACGAATGGCCGCCAGTTACCATAATGAACTTGGCATGTAAACCAATCCTCGTGCCATTTTCTCCTCTTATCCGTAAAATGCTATTCCAAAATATTGAAGATCCCTTCAAGGCGACTCCTCACTTTACATAGAGAAGCGTAAAAAAGAATGTTTGTCAATTGAGTATTTCGATCCCTCACAGACATAACAACCGAATGAGTCTTTTTCTCAATTATAAACTACTTGGTAATACCAACTGTATCTGTATTATGTCTAAAACTAAATTTCTCTTTAATAATGTCTAATGATTCTTCTATATAAATCATGCTAAATGTATTTATCTTATGCGGTTGCACAGCCAATGGACAAGGTTAGAAATACATTTTAAAAAAAGAAAGCATAGAGAAGTACATTCATTTCTCTATGTAAAAGCTGAATTAACTATCTTATCTGCCAAAGTGAAGTAAAAGATAGTGCACGTAATTAACTGCATCACATAACCCTATAGTATATTTATTCGGGACCGTGTTAATTCTGAATGAATCCGTTTGATACTTTTCTAATTGTGAAATTAATCGCCATGAAGGTCCGTATCAATATATTTCTATTGTAAATAGTAAAGAGGTGAAAGGATTAACTTCTGTTTATTGCTTCTATGAGATATAGTGGATGATAATCGTTTCTACTGCTCGATTATCACGTGCTTGACAGGGTGACGCTCTAACAGACCACTGGCCGCAAACCAGCAATAGACATTCAATTGTAATTAATTTCTCAGAATCATCCCCACGGCAACATTTTGTAATGTATCCCGGACTTTGTGTAGAACTTTTCAGAAATTCAATGATGTTTTTCAATTTTTTAAATTATTGAGTTTTGGAGAGAAATGAAAAAAAAAATTTAAAACAAATGTGTCCAAAAAAACTCCTTCTTTTAAAAAAAATAATGAATTCAAATACATCAATAAAAGAGCATTATTGCTTTAACGAGTCACCAAAATGATTAAACTTTTGGTCATATTACAACATGAGTTAAGAATGATACGTTAGCAATCGCTCATTTTTCAAAATTTTTTAAAAATAATATAATCTTGAGAAAATAATATTTGGGAAAAAAATGAATAACACTGTTTCATATTTTTATTATAATCCATAGAAAAAAGTTCTTTAAAAATCTGAAACGAACAAGGTCAAATTTTCCTTAATTTGTGCGATTTCGACGGACCGCATACGTTTGACAGCGATATCTTTGTGATACGACCAGAGTGTTCACTAAAAATATAAAGGACTGTAATGAATAAAACTATAAGAAATTCAGGACACTTTGATTACCAAATAAGGACAGCGTTTGAAAAAAATTCAGCGACGTCTAGTAATCCTAATTCAATTGTCAGTATTTGCGGTTCCATAAATGAATTTTATTTCAATGCTATGAATTGCGTGTGCGTCTGAAACGTGTGAGCTATCAGAGTATGGACTATTTTGAAGCCTTATTAGATATATTATTAAACCGCAACAATGAGTTATACTGGTGTGTTGGAGGGGAAACATCTATATCGCGTCCGAATCGCGGTGTCGATGTTAGATTACTGAAGTTGCTGAAGTTCAAGTATCTGGGGCACCGGCTAACAAATTACATTTTCAAGTTGTTTAATATAGTAGTGCGTGAGACAAGATTTGCTTTAAATACAACAGTCAGCAGATTTTTGGTAAATGTACATTTTTGGGACAATGTTTTAGCACTACAATAAGATAAATAATTGTATTGCGTAAAATAATATTTATTATAAATTGATATAATTATTCTAAGCATAAAAGTGATGCTACTGACTGTCACAGACATTCTCATACTATTTTTTTTTAATATCGTTTGTCTAGGCTAACTTTTTGGTTTTGCCCCACTCACATTTCAGCTTCCATTTACTTCCATCTAAAGATCACTTTTTTACATTTTGTCTAAACTTAGCTCCCCTAATGGCTGAATATGATTTTAAAAATATTATAGAAGAGTAAAACATAGACCTTTGTGCAAATGAATGGGTGAAAACCTGAAAACTTTATTAGTGACATTTTCTAAATTGTGAGAAAATTTAATATTACTGTTAAGTCGATATGCTTTGTTTCATAATTAGAATCACGTCATTTTAATTGTTCATTAAAATCACGAAATTACATTGCAATTGAAATACAGCCTAAAATAATCATGCTTTCCTCCGAATTTATAAAACGTCACTTATACCATTCTGGTTTTCACCCATTAAAATAATCTTTGATTTACTTGGAGGAATTTTTGAGAAAATGTCGTTTGAATTTTTCTGCAAATACGTAATACTGAGCTCATTTACATAAAAATCTTTTCAGCTTCGGAAAAAAATCATTGATAATAATTTGAAGCAATCTACTCACTGATGTAAAAGACAACCACAATGTACACATTAGCGAGGTGATTTAAAAAATATACAGCTACATTTCTTTAATTTTGAGAAATCAAAATAAGGAATGTAAATGGCGTTGTCATGTTTATGCAATACATTGAGGACTATCAATACAAAAAGTTTCAAAGAAAAATTTGGAGCCGTTTTGGGGAAATGTTGTTCGAGCGTTACTAAAAATGCGCAAACTTGAGCCTTTTTTCACAGCATAATTTTGAGTTTTCAAACAACCTTATAATACGTCATATGAATACATTGTTTTGAAAATATCAATAGACACTCCTTAAATCATAATAACCACATCTAAATACAAACTCCTAACCAATGTCGTGGAAACCCGACAATGACATCAATGAGATTCTGCCTTCGGGCCGAGGCCATTATTCCTTCCGCTAAAAGTTTTAAGCAAAAAGAGAAATTAATAAACAATTTTTTTAAAATTTCTATTATCATTCTACAGCCGTCATACTCGGAGAAATGTGTTTCTTGGGAATCACAGCTGGAGCTCATCGGCTGTGGGCACATCACGCCTACAAGGCCAACTTGCCACTGCGTGTGCTGCTCATGCTCTTCAACACGGTCAGCAACCAGAGCAGCATTTACGATTGGGCTCGTGATCATCGGGTGCACCACAAATTTTCCGAGACCGACGCCGATCCGCACAATGCCAAACGAGGGTTTTTCTTTTCGCACATTGGCTGGCTGCTGGTCCGGAAACATCCGCAAGTTTTGAGTAAAGGACGGACGATAGATATGAGCGACTTGGAACAGGATGCAGTAGTCATGTTCCAAAAGAAGTAAGTAAAATGTTCATTGTTCATATTTTCGACAGATGGTAAAATTAGTGACGATACAACAGAACATGGTTTCTCGTGTCAAATGAAACGGTTGTACTATAATATATGCAAATTCTATTCATTAACATCAAACCCGTATTTTAAAACAATCTTTACAAACTGATTTCCAAGAGATTAACTCCAAAAATTGATATCTTACTAATTTTAAAATACAAAAGTTGAAATGATTTGGGTTTTCCATTATGGAAATCAGGGTACAGTGAAATCTGCCAAAATGGCCACCTCTATTACGTGGTCAACTCACTAAACGGCCATTTTTTCGTGAAACTGGTAGCTTTTCCACTTTTGATTGGTCACCCCAGCCAGAAGCGTCAGATTTCCTATAATGACCTCTATTAAACTGTCACTTCAGGCGATTTTGATCACTAATAGAATAGGAAGCGGTGGATGTACTTTTGATTCAATATCCTCCTACAATAGGAAGAGATTCGTAACTTACTCAGAACAGTGACATCTAGAGTCATTTTTCTGTCAATTGTTGAAAAATGGGCTACTTTAATAAATATCTCAATGAAATGACGTGAGAACTTTTCAACGTGACGAAGTACGCCTCGTGCGGAAAACCGATAGGAGAATTAATCGTTAACTATGTCATGTCAAAGCCCTGACCAGAGAAAATAAACCGAATTTTAAAGGCTAGTCTGCTTGTGAGTCCTGTTCGGCAAGGGTGTCCAGAAGAATCAAGAGGCGAGGGGCAGTTGATCCACGGAAGCCCTATATTTAAAACAAGCCTCCACCTCACTATACACGAAGATAATTCATCTCTCCAGGCAACAAATAACTTATAGCGGTTAATTTGAATTACGAGTAGAAGAAATAGTAAAACCAGCTCACACTGCCACATTAATTGAGCAGCCATCTCTGTCTGGTCACGGATTACGCGATAGTATGTACTAGTTTCTTTTTCAGAAAATATGTACATGGTCGTTTTTAAAGAGCTAATTTTTTACAAGTCTTTTTCTCATATAAAATATCTTTTTAATTTTTTAGTTTTAAAATGTTAATTTTTTCCAACTTTGAAATATACGGAGAGTTCGCCGGAAATGGAACTAGCACCATATTTTTTATCGTATACAGATACAAATGAAGAGAAAATTTAAAGAAATAATTTGGAGCGATTTTTGAGAAAAAACGTGCCTATTTGGGGCACAATTACACGAAAACTACTCATATTTTCGAAAAATTGATCATGATCTTATTTCAATGTCTTTAAAGAACAAATTTCATTAAGAACAAAATCTCAATCATCATTATTGTACTCTAGAAAGACGCCCCCAAAAATTGCACTTTTGTAATTTTCCAAGAGTCAGGGATTTCAACGAACATAAGACCTGCACCATGATCTATGTCTTTTACTATCCGAGGACAAAGTTTAATTAAAAAAATTGGTGCAACTCTGAAAATAATATTGAGAATTCATGTAAAGTACCCTCAAGCATCAATATATCCAGTTGAAACTTCTAAATCTCAAGTTCGTACTAGTTTCTTTTTCTTCCCCAAACGATTAGGGAAGACCAGTTTCCGAAAAAAATCGCCTGAACAGTTTAGACGGTAGCCTTAACCATAGACCTGGACAGAGAGAAGTTTTGACTTCAATGGATTTTTCACTATCAAGGATCCTAACTACACTGTGTTAGAGGAAGAAATGTACTAAATTTAAGTACAGGCTTCATCTACTTTTTCGTTACAAGAGCCCAACAATCCATTTGACGAAAATTCTCCGTTTTCCAACGCTCTATTTCAATACTTTCTCATCTTACATCCATTAGAGTGAGAAAGTAAATTTGAAATTTATTACACATTATAAAGTAACCACATTGATAGAGGAAAGGCTCCAAATATAGGCTAGCTTTTGATTTTTGTATGTATTTGGCACATTTTTAGACATATGGGTAAATTTAAATTTTGAGCTATTCCTTTGACTTATGTCCTTCAATCCTGGAAAATTTGAAAATTTAAAAAAACTGACATTTTCATCAATAATTCTTTATTAAAATAATTACAAAAAGTCATATTTTGAAAATTGGGTCCAACTATGGGCTAGCCCTACTCCTTTCAGAAACATGTAATGAAATAAGGAATTACAGTAGAATTCACTTACAAATAGTATAACATTAGCACAAAATTGTAAATTCACTAACAAAAATCACATATACACACATATCACTCCCAACCAGCACATTCTGTGTGTTCCACCCATGACATGTAACACACTGTACCAAATATTCACCATTTATGTCTTCGGAAATCAACCGTTGGCAAAACTTACAGGAAGTTCCAAATTCTTGTTTGTTTTTGTCAGTTGTGGTCCCTGAAATTCCGAATCAAAGTCAGCCAGGGGTGGCTAGTCTCACTGGCCCATATTTAGACCAAACCCCCTTTTACAAAACCATTATGGCAGCCATTGCTGATATGAAATAGTAAGTTGAATGAGGCATAGAAACCGTTCGCCAACACAACTTTAATACAGTCCTGCTGCCAAATAACATTCACAACCAACTGGTTAATGCTAAAAAAACAGATTGTTCAAACCGCATGGAAAATGCGATAATCGATCATTTCTAACGAACAGCTTCTAAACGCGTTGACTGATGGGCACCAACTGCTCGTCACTCTTCAACGGAACCTAGGGAACTAGTTTCACGCCATTCCCGATAGAGTGCAACACTCTCGCGCTTCACAACAGAAACTAGCCCCTTTTATATATCCTAGCCTGTATTTGTACCTTCTCTTCTAATGTTATAATTTAGTTTCCTGTGTTTATAAAATAAATCCCGTTTCTATTTAAATGTTATTAACTGAATCAGAATGCAAAATACACACCTAAAGCTCTAGTGAATAAAATTTTGGAAATACATAAATGAAGTTTAAATACACGTTTCGTAAAGTTTCTCTTGTTTTTTTTTGGGGGGGGGTGTTAGAAATATATTTCATACTGTCTCAATTGTCATTTCTGTTTTATTCAATTATTTTTTCTTTCACAGGTATTTTTACCATTTAACTCTCACTTTCTTCTGCATTTTGCCAACCCTCATCCCAATGTATTTTTGGGGCGAATCGCTAAACAACGCTTGGCATGTGGCAATGCTTCGTTATGTGTGGACGCTCAATGCGACGTTTTTGGTGAACAGCGCAGCTCATTATTGGGGCAACAAACCATATGACAAGTAAGTTCAATACTCCAATCCTACTCGTCTTTTGCGTCTCTTTCTTCTGTTACTCCCGCATCTAAATTTCTCTGGCATAGTAATATTATTTTTCCCTTCATATTTAATGTTCCCCAACTTAAAATAAAAATTGATGGTATACTTGCAAAACCACGCAAGACAGAAAATTGACGAAAATGGAGTTTTGGTACCGTTAGATTCATCTGGTTGTCTGGCATACATTGGCGAGCTTTCAGACGCAAAACCACACTGTAGTGCTCTCTATCGGCGGTTGAAAGTACTCGATGTTTCACGGGCCGATTGAGCTGCAAATGTTTTTTTCTCTCTCGTAAAAAATTACTGAGAAGAGATATACGAAGTTTTGTAAGTAGACCAACAAATCTTACTTTTAGGGGAAATGAAATAAAAATTATACCTATGAATTTTCTCATCGTGATTTACTCTTGAAAAATACGGTTCTTAGATCATGTCGAAGCTTTCAGAAGACAATAAAAATACTGGTTATCCCATCAATTGCCGTAATTCCCATTACAAATCTCAGATCTTTTTCATTGTTATATGATACTTTGTACTTTGACATGCGAATTTTGTTTCTTCTATAAACGTAGAAACCTTAAAACAAAACATAAAAGCAAGGTTTTTCATTCCTGAATGCCAGATACCGATTTATCTGTGATCGCTAAGATATTGTGTATCCCGACAAGGGTGTACATGGCTAGCATCGGTTCGAATCTTCATCTAAATCCGTGCTTAGCTGATATATGTCTGTGGTTAAGTTCGGAGGGGTAAAGCAAACTGTGGCCGGTGTAAAGAAAATAATGTGATTTTTCGGCAGAAAAACTCTTATTGTCGGGTCATGGAAAATAAAATGTGGATAAATCTTGTTTCTATATATAGTCAATTACTCAGACCAATAAAATGTGTAGTCCAAAACCTTGATTTATGGGTCTTTGAAAAAATCGATTGCCATTGATGAGGCTACAAACTATTGTTTAGATGTTTGGCAGAGCATTTGCAGAAACTCCACCAAGAAAATCATTTTCTAGGGTTTTAAGAAACCTAAAATTATTCATTGTTATTTGTTTTCATTTTCTTTTTTTGCGTATGAATTTTGTGCTGATAAAATATCTAAAATTTTTTTCCTGATTCCATTTGTTTTTATTAATATTTTTCTATCGCATAAAATTGTTGAAAAAAATTAAAAAAACATTTTTGACTCTGGAGGACTGTGGGTGGTGGGACGGGGGTTAAGAAACCTTTCAAATATCTTATTTTTATGTTAGAGTTATAGTGTAACTACTTATATGTAAACAGTAGTAAATTCAATAAACAATATTAAGTCAACACCACTTTGATATATTCTTGTGTTTTGTGAAAAACTACACAAAAACATTTTTTTAAATGTCACGTCGTTAATATTTACATTACATTACCAAAAATCATTATATTACTTAATACAATTACTTTAAATTTTCTGGAAAATCTTTAAAGTTAAAGTGAGCTTCAAAATGAGCATTTTCAAAAACGCTCAAACGAAATTTGTCATACAAATTTTCATATTGAATAAAGTTTTAGTTTTCTATAATAATATTAGTCAAGTATCGGTTCTAACATTAGGGGTCTGAAAAGTTGCGGCTGCGAGAGATGGCAGCTAGGAAGAGATTTGATTAAAACTGAAAACCAAACCCAGACTCCAAAAACTGACTGACAGGGCATCAGCTGTTAATGGGTCATCCAATCGGGAGCTGAACGTCATTACAATGACGTCACTATGGTGACCGTTCACCCTTCCGATTGGATGTCACCGTATCATCTGATTTACGTCAGAGGTAGCTCTAAATAAATCCAAGTATAACTGTGCGAGAAAGTTACATTTTAACTTTCTACACGTACACGTGCTAGATTTACGACCCGAGCACTCCTACAGTGCGCAACAATCGCAAAATCGTTTATTTATAAAATTATCTACGTCAGAAAATTATCAGTGCCAAACTATAAATCAACTGACAATGGATAGGATGTTACATCAAGCCCTAACGCAATAACGCGTGATATCTGACAATGGGAGGAAAACTTAATCAGATGCAGACTCGCAGTCATGTTGTAACGTAGGATTGATAGAAGTTTTTTTAAGTGTAAAATTTCATCTTGCGAGGCTTTCGCATTAAAAACATTTCAATAAAAATGCAAACGATTGGAAAAGGCTATTGTTTAAAAACGGATGGCAATGCAATTTATTGCAATAGCTATCATATATAAAGAAGTAAGTGTAGTGTTAAGTAATATCAATTAAAACATATTCATAGCTTCTAGTCGATGTATTTAGTGCCCATAACTTTTGTTACTCCACAGATTGTATAGTTTAAGATGCTGAGACACTGCAGGGGCCTCTGAGTATGCAATTGTAGCAGGAGATGTGAATGCCAGAGTAGGATGTAAGTCCAGCTGTCGAGGTGAAAGTCTAGCAGTTGTATCAAGCCAGTTGAAGAGACTTGTATCAAAACGTAATGAATCTGTGATATCTGAGACCACTCTCAGACGAAATAGAATATTATCGGAAGAATCAAGTGAATTGTGTGTCAGCATCAGAATTCCTTGGTTAACAATGGAAACAATGACCTGAAAGACTGAAAATATGGAATGATACAATGAAAGCAATCATAAGCAGAGACCGATGCGTAACAGATATTTGAGTAAAAACAAACCAGAAGACTATTAAGAATATAAACTATTTAGAGTTTAAACACGTCCGTATTCCAGAAAAGCATACAGGAAAAGTTGGGACATCTTTAAAAGGTTGTAGCATGACATTAGTGGCGGTCAAAGAATTGTTTTTCAAATTTTAAAAAATTACCAAGTAAGAACAAAATGATGCGTGCGTATATTTTACCTGAGAACAAAAATGAGTTGAACATTATACGCAACTCTTATTCTCAGACAATGTTGGGGTAGCGGAGGCAGAGAAGAGGTCAAATATGAAGTAATAACAACGGATTATTTATAATTAGCTCTACAGAAAAACCAAAAATACGAAATCCGCGAGGCTGGATGATTTACTAATGAAATTATGGATGTGTGCAGGAGATAAGATGAAAATGGTCTCATTAAAATTCTTTAACAATTTTTGAACAGAAAGCAAGATTAGAACAAAGCCTCAATATACATAAAAAGGGAGTCAAAAGAAGACTGATAATACTGGCCTGCGTTAAAAAAGTTTATGATCTTTAAATTACGTCAATGTTTTTTAGAGGAATTGACCACGCTGAACGATATTAGTTTTCCTCAATTACTTATATATTTTGTGTTATGGATCCTATGACTACTACAGTTCGCGCAAGTTTTCTTGATTCACGAGCTCCCTAGTCCTCACCCAGCGCTGAACAGCACGGCACGTTGAGATACTTTGGTTCGCCTCGGAACGGCACGTATTAGTTTACAATGCTCGCAACAATCATCTCGTACCTTCAAAACAATCGTAGCATTTCTCATGGCACACTTTGGTGAGTTAGCTCATGCCCACAGCTGGCACGCTCTTTTAAGCCTTGATGTAGCAAAATCTCTCCTCTCCCCGCACCCCCCGCTATGGAATATCAAGAAAACGTGCGCGTATAATACGCATACGGCTTTTACTATAATAACATTTTCTGTTAATAAAGGGTTAATGACTTGATAACATAACAAGATAACTATTAAGTGAATGAAACACAAGATAGTTTCAACGCATTCTTTGATACTAAAAAAGTATATTTAAATAAATCATAAATACTGTGGAAAAAATTGGTACCCTCTTACTTTCTTTCTGTATGCGTCCCTCGTGAGTAATAAATATGAATAATTGAAATAAATGTAAATATTTTACCTTTCATGTATTATATTTTAAAGATTTTTACATAAGAAAATTTATTTTATTGAAATTATTACTTAAGTTTCTTTCGTTTATGTATGGCTCCAGGTTTATCTCTTTTCAGACACCAACAAAAGTCATCCATCACAATGTCCCATTTGGGTGGTTGTATAGTGCATTTCAGTGTGTGAAAGAAAAGAGAAGGGGGGCAGGAATGGAGAGGAAAGATCGACCTGCTTGTTAGCGTCGAGGTACATTAAAATTATATTGCTACAAGAGCACGTATTTTTTCTCGCCAGTATCGCTTACGTAAAAATATACCTTATTATCTCTCCATATTTCCACATAAAAACACATCACCTAAAAATACAATTTGTCATTGTAGAGAATACGTAATAGCAATTGATTTCAAAAAATTATGTGATTTTCGGGAGGTTTTAGATGTACCGGAAATATGACTTTCTGTTGCAGGAATATGTACGCCGCACAAAATCTTGGAGTGGCCATCGCATCTCTAGGTGAAGGCTGGCATAATTACCATCATGTCTTCCCTTGGGACTACAAGACATCCGAGCTTGGCAACTACCGTGCTAATTTCACAACAGCATTTATTGACTTTTTTGCCAAAATAGGATGGGCCTATGATCTCAAAACTATTCCGAGAGACACGATAAAAAGACGAGCAGAACGTACGGGCGATAGAACCCACGAGGTCTGGGGTAGGGGAGACACAATTATGCCTAATGAAACAGCGAATAATACGAGTATTGAGGTCAAAAAAATTAAATAAAAACATTCCTAATGTACGAGTATTATATTCATTCATTTCATAGGTTATTAAACTCAAAAGAGTGTATGTAAGAATTTTAGGTATCTAAAGTAAAAGGAGATCATAAAAACCACGGAGAAAAACGAATGCCAAGAATTTTGATTGTAAGATTTTAACATAAATAAAGTAATATTCAGCTAATCTCTCATCTCACTAGATATAATTGGTATTAAGGGAGAGAAAAAAACGAAAACAATCAGGCAAAACTTGATTTTTCACGATTGGTGCCGTTTTATTCTCTGTCTTATGAATACGCTGATATACAGTTCATGCATATTTTACTAAGTTTAGTAAAAAATATTGAATGGAACTATGTAGTAGTCAGGGCATAAGAGTGGGCGAAACCGATTGGGAAATATAGAATGAGAAAAACGTTTTTAGTTATCTGCAGAATTCGTGATATTATTTGCAATTCATGGATTCACTCTTTACATCTAGGGTGTTTCATTTGCTTATGCTAAATAAAATACCTATTGTAGTGAATAACAATAGAAGTAATTGTATTGTCGTAAGTAGTTGTGCACAAGTAATTGTATTGAATAAGAATAGAAATAAAGTATTATTGTGAAAATAAAACGATTATTATGATGATGAAATAATTAAGAATGCCGAAAGGAAGAAACACCGAATTTATCCTCCAATGCTTTGTCAAACGAAGGGAAGGCCAGATATAATTCTTAAGAATTATGTTTATGAATTTCAAGGCCCGAGATGCCCGCAAATTATTGTTTCTCTTTATGTTCGTCAACATCAATTAATAAAAATGTTCATATTGACACTGTTTTTCTTACAATTCTTGGCATTGTAATGTCTATTTTTTAAGATATTTGCTAGGTTTAGGCTCTCTGGGCTAGTGAAAAAGTTGTCAGTTATTATGTTCCTCCCATTTCTTTCACAAAATTTCACCATATTTAAACAACCCTCTTTATTTAATTTCACGAGTTTGGCTTGCCTGACGACCTGTGTCTACTTGAACATTAAAGGTATATCTAGTGGTAATGACGCATGCAACGGTTAACTTCAGGCCATATTTATTTGGTTTTGAAGGCGTATTATACTGCCAAACAGGGCACATACCACGAAAGTTCACAAGTTTTTCACCATCTGTGATGTTGATGTGAGGTATGTATGCATCTTGAAGTGTATGCTCCTTCATTTCTTAACATATCTATACAGGCAACTTATCTTATCTCAGTTACGACGCCCATGTTCTGAAACATTAAATCGAAATCCTCTAGAAATTTATGTAAAAAGATATCAAGTCATTTCTTCATTGTGGTCTTTGTGTACACCACCTCGAATAAAAACGCATAGAAAGCATTTCAACTAAGGTCCATTTTGAACCATACGCAAATGTTCCTTCCTTGTTTGTCCACTTCAAAATTTCATCAATTATACATTTTTTCGTAAATGGGAAGGCTGACCATGTATCCACATCTTTCATTGCATCTTTTGTGAGACTTTTTCGTGTATTATTAAATCTTCCTCGCGATTCTCTTTGCACATTCTTATACCAGATTTCTTCCCCTTTCTTCCTTCTTCCTTTTTGAATATGTAGATGACAGGCAAATCCTCAATAATTTGTCACAATACACGGGAAGAAATGCATACAGTTTAATAATAATGAAACTATTCCTAACTTTATTTACTTTACCTGTAAATTTTAGAAGTTCACAACTGTGATCTGTTCATAATCAACAGCCAAAAAAACACGAAACAGTTTTGTAATATACAAGATCATAAACATCTTTCTTTTCGTCTTAGAAAAGGAATTTGTATCAAGAAAATTTGCAAACCCAAACACATATATTCTTAAACAAAACAAAAATTAACCTTTGTACAATAACAAATTTAATCTAGCATTAAGTTTCTCTTCTCTCTTGAAGCAAACTGACAAATTAACAGTTTCAAATACAATGATACAATTTTTAACACTTTGACAAACAACATAAAGTCCATCAAAGCATCAAGCGCAGTTTGTCAAGTTCAAGTTACGTGTACTTTCTGAGAACACATTACACATACACTCAAATGGTGGCTTGTTGCTCTGTGCATTTACTTTTTACTTATGCAGAGTCAAATGACCGCTATTTACACTAGAGGATGTCATGACAAGCAACCATTGCACACACTCATTAAAAGGGTGGCTTGGGGCCCTACGGGAATACTGTTAAGAGCCTCCTACGCCTTAGCGAACTGAGCGAACTTGATGCTTTGATGCTCTCGCAGTCACGGCATTCGTGGCGGTAAAGATAAAGAGAAAAATGTAGGAAACGACGATTGACTTACTTTGTGCTATCACCCAGATCGTCGCGCGAAGCTTGCGACAGTCAGCAGGCTGGTGACGCCGAATATAACGTCTCCGCGCAGATCCGGGTTTCTTACACCGGCAAATGTAGTGTAAGAAAATGGACCCCATAAACCTAGGCGCAGCAGCTTCAGTGTCCGTTTGCTCTTTCTTCTCGTTCTCACTACGTTCACTCGCCACTCCCCATAGCCACTTTTTCGAGCCTTTCCTCTTCTGCGCGTCTCAAAAATTCTTCTGCTGCTCCCTACCGCGTAGGTCGGCAATGGACATTACAATCCAATTATCTCAAAAAGAATATATATAAATAGGGTTTCACAACCTCTTCAGAGGGTTACTGCCGCGGTGATCTTGAAGTATAGCGTTAGTATCAGTATGCTGTCAACCCACAGATAGGTAAACGTTAAATATAGTAATGCAATCCGATACCGGTGAAACACAGATCTAATAGGGGTTCTTCCTAAATCTATTACATTACTTTGATCACAATCCGTCAGCATTCAAAACGTCTCTTTGAGATTCTCAGTCGTTTCATTGAATCACTGTCTGAGTGATGGTGAGAAAATTCACATCTCTGGTGGCAAGACCGGATACGCGAGTGGGGAGTTTTACGTGCAAACAACACGTACCGCTTTAACCCACGGCCGCCAAGGGAGGACGTCGCGGTAGGCCTCGGCCCCGTTCACGGGCTGACGCCGCCAAGTACAGTAACACATCAGTCTGACCTATCTGATAGTAGTACCTCGCGAACCTTGCCAACCAAATTCTTCTCCTGCAACTACCAATTTTCAAGGTAAAATGCGATGTAACTCGCAATCAGAATTAGCTTCTATATAAAGAATACGTAATTTCAAAACAATGTTATTTTGACTAGCATAAACAAACAAAAGATAAATAATTTCAAACTGAAATCAAACTATATAGATGTTACAGAAAAGTTTGTCACTGATACTATAGCAACAGAAAAAAATTAGTCATCATTTTCACAAGAATTAAATGTTGCGGATCTGCCTAAGACCCCACTGGTTCTCAGTGTTGCAACTACGCAATTAACAATTGGTAAGAGTAACAACAATGTAAAAACACTTGCTTTATCAGGGAAAAGTCATATCTTAATTTTTTTTAGTATTGGGAACGAAAAAGTATTAGAAGAAACATGTTGTGGGTCCAGCATAGATAGTCCGTCGTTATACTTTCAGCAGAGCAGTATAGTAGAATTATCCCTTCAACATCTTACTTATGCCCGCGACACATATTTACGACCTTCATTGTCCATTCACCGGTCTCCGGTGTTTGAAAATTTTCCGTTTCTTTTTTGTTTTTTCAATTTCGATACATTTTAATTTTTTTACAAAATAAATAGATTTTTTCAACTTAAAAATTTAAAGGCTTTTCTATAAGTTCATGCTGAGTCCTTGCCCTTCTCATTAGCAGATAAAGAGCGGAACCATGATGGAAGAATCTGCGCTCTTGCTGATTCTCGTGTGTTATCGCCATCCGGCTGCGTGCTCTTCTTTCTACGCATTCGCAGAAGATCACATCATAGCGGATTATGCGCGCAGAAGGCCGCATCGCCCAAACAGTTTCAAGAATTAATCCCCGAATAACTATTCGATACTCTTCAGTTTGAAACAAGATCGAAATTTTGCGTATTTCGTATCAAAGGCTTGAATATTTAGATATCAGCAATAACAATTTTTGGAAATAAATGTTAAAAACGAATAATTATACAGGTAAGTTTACTACAAATGTTGTTTTACTATCTCTATAACCTAAAATAATTAATCATATTATCTGTAGAAATAACTGAAGTTAAGGACTATATTTTATTGAGCAAACGAACATTTTAAGACAAATTGCCGAAACGTTATGTAATCTGTATTACAAAACAATTAATAGAAAGGTATGTTAAAACACTACATAATAGATAATTTAGTTATAAAATGTTTAGCAAAGATATTCTTTCTCATTGTATTTTTTTATTTATATTTGAATTAGCATACCATAGATGAAGCAACGTTAATTTATAAATTAACACTCTCACTCACAACACACTTTATTTAGCAACTAAATATTAAAATTACCCCCCCCAGCGGTCTCTGGGTTTTTATGGAATGGCAAGGTGCGCAACCCTACATTTGCACTTTAAATTACCTTATAGCCAAAGTTCAGATTAATCGTATCTATCAAAACAGTTGTACGTGTGTGTTCGTTTGGAGCACAAGAAATACATCGGTTGGAGGATTTAATTCGCGTTCCGAACACTAATTAGCAAAAATACATGTATAATATAGATATGCCTCGTATTAGACGAAGCAAGTTTAGGTAGAAGAACCCGCAAATGCTACAAACCAAAGCTAATTACCGATCTAATCATGCTGCAAAAAGAACGTGGACGACCGAAATGAAACGTGAAATAATTCGATATCACGAAACGCGTGAAGCGCGAGCGCTAATTAAAACTAATAACGCGCAGTTTGAATGGAGCTAGCTTTCAGTGACGATGTGTCATTGACTACAGTAACTACCAATGTGTGTGTTATTGGTTCTATGAAACTCGGGTTCTGCTCATATGTGTAAGGCATTGAAATTATAAAAACGAAGTAATGGATTGTGTTGCGCAAATGGTAAAAGTGAAATTGAGTAGCATTGGAAC